AAGAATTTTTATTGAAGACTTAAACAACGACCATGTATCTATCTAATGTATCCTATTAGCTTACTGTTCCCAATATGCTGGAAAAAGTGGAAAGAGCTAGTAAAGTTGATAAGTAGGCATATCCAGCTCTTAAACCTCACTGGCAGAAGTGGAGACAGCAGATAGATCACCTGCTCTGTCAGCTGCTAAAACTAGCAAATGTGACCACAGACATGTTTGTCACAATTATATTACCTTCCGAAGTGCAAGGTGGTATTCTTTGCATACCTGATGGCTTGTATGTTTTGCACATGGCACTTGTTCATAGATATTCACTTTATTGTTTGTGAGTAAACTGGCTGCTAACTACTACAGTACATCTCTCCTGCTTTGAGTCTCCTTCTGCTTGGGATGATGCATAATTCACAAAGACAGAGTAGAGTGAGAATGAAAGGCTAAAGCACAAATGAAAGTGAAGAGGAACGGGGGGAGCGGGTTAGCTCAGTGCATTGAGCCGGCGCCTACACTGATCTGTCTGATAAAAGCTGGAAAAGGCCAAAAAAACAAGAAACTTGACAAAGATTGGTTTCTGATATTTATATTGTAAGATTCTTTTTAGTTGCATTTTTTAATCACATTGGTCATTATCTCTAAATAATTTACACGTGTTTTAGAAGAATAAATTTAGAATATATGCTAAAAGCTGTATTTGTTTACTTTCAGTAAGATATCAGTTTCTCTCCATAATGTATTCAGAAAGCAGCCAATCGACCAATCCATACCAGCCAGCCTCATTAAGCATGTCATTTATGCCTTAACAAAAATTAATCTAAATTCTCTCTGGTTTGGAAGAGGCCCCTGCATCCCTCACCTATCACTGCTCTGCAGAAGGCAGCCAGGCGGATCGGCAAAGGAGGGAGAGCCAGACATAAATCAACAATGGGAATGGGTCCCAGCATGGAGGCTCCAAATCAAGGTCGGGAGAAAGCAGCCTATCAAACTACAAGGGTCAATAGATAAAAGGCTGTTAGGTGTGTGTGTGTGTGTGTGTGTGTGTGTGTGTGTGTGTGTGTGTG